TTAAATAAATAAATACAATCAATGCAACGATATCTTGCAAATTCCAAAGAAGACCATGAGAACAAAACAAAAAACTCTAATAACAACAGCTGCTATACAACATAGATTGCCATCTGCTGGACACTATGTATACATGCAAGCTGTTTTATGGTACATCTAGAGATGTAAAATAATGCTCAACTTTTATATTATTTTATGTAATATATATATATATATATATATATGTGTGTATGAAAATCATGTTTTTTCATTGTGCATTCCAATTAATCTCAATCAAACTGCAGTTGGGTTACTGTGATTAGGTAAAAAATAACAAAAAAATACCGCTAACATAATAAAACACAATAAAAACATGATAGCATAATAAAAAACATGATTTTTGGAATTTAAAAAAAATGGAGTTGTCTGTTTTTTGCAAATAAACTCTTCATATATATATATATATATATACATACACACACAAATAAAAACTTTATAAATGACTATTTTATAACAGCAAATAAGATGTACACAATTGCTGGTGTTAAACACTCATTTATTCAAATATAAATCATAAATCATTCATATATCAAATTTCAGCATTGTTCCATGTGTTTAAATAAGTAGCTAATTAATAATAATGTGAATTAATAATAAAATATATATATTTAACAAACTCATTTCACATATTTATTTATTTTAAATTCACTAAATTGAAAACATAAAAAATGTCCACTATTCACAGACAATGCTACCTGTAGGTTTTTGTTATATATATATATAAATATATATATAGAGAGAGAGAAATAGATGTTTTATATTAATTGGATTTTGTTCATTCAGCAGCAGTTAGCTGCCTATGCAATTAATTCAAAAAGTTCAAACACTTGACTGATCAATCAGCATGGATGATATATTATTCTATCACTAATTAATTAAATGTGTACAGTAAACATCAAGTACATAACTCAAAATAATATTGTATTCAATGATACAATATAATGTATGTATCAGGGCTATTTATACAGATTTGTATAAAATGTACAATATGACAGTTTTCACAGCTTTGTGAATGTTTTACCTCAGATACATTTAACACCAGCAGAGTGTTCACAAACCGCCAACCCTCTAGTACGTTCAACAGATGACTGATGTTCATTTCCCCTACTTTAAAATGAGATCGGAAACAAGTAAAAGATTTCAGAGGGCTGGATTTCATGCTAAGCATGTGCCTTCTCCTTGGAACCCCCTTTGAAAGGAAAATCCTCTCTGCAGTTTGTCCTGCAGGACCCAGTTGTCATAGAAACAGCATCGTGCTCTGGATTGCTGAATTGAGAGCAAATGTGTGGATGGTGCACAGGTCTCTGAGTGAGTGGGAGGGAACAGGGGAGGCAGATACAACACTTTACTATTCTAACACAATAGGGGAGATAGCAGATGTTTCAGCTGGACACTGTTTTAGGGGCTGGAATGACTGGAAAAGGCGTGGATGAATGGCAGGCATAGTGACACTGGTGACAAGAATGATGACGTTAATGGACAACAATGAATAGAAGAGTAACACTTACGTGTGGTCGAGTCTCACTTAAAACTGGAAGGAGAGCGCTGTGATGCCGTGATGAGTGGAGCGTCTGGTGTGAGTGTAAAACATCACCCCCTGCTGGTTGAAAATATACCCTCATAATTAGGGTGTTTCCTCAGTGATGTCACTAAGGATAGAAGCTGCCCACTGGAGAAGATCACATTTCTCATATTTAGCTCGAATAAATCAGCAGTTAGATTAATCGATTCCCAAAACAAGACTAACAATGACCAAATATAAGTCAACTTAATTTTTGGTGGAAGAATTCAAAAGTTCCCTAAAATGTGTGATGTGATAATATGGACACTGGACAGCAGTATCAGGATTCAAGATTTCATGGTTATTATAGTTAACTTAAAATAAAACCTTAATAAATAAATAAATCTGTTGCTTGAAATAAAATAAAATAAACTATAACCAAATCAAATATAATATAGAAAATCTTTTTATTTCAACATTTTATTTTTCATTTTAATTTAGTTGACCTTGATGTTCCAAAATAATTAAAACTGAAAAAATAAAACCTTTATAGACATAAATAATTATAAACATTACAATAACACACAACAAAACTACTAAAACTTTCAAACTAAAACAGAAAATATAAAAAAAAACAAAAATATATAACAAAAAATAGCAAAATATAAGCCATTCTTTAACATTTTACAGATAAATCTCAAATGCACTGAAAATATGATACTCACAATATGAGTTATAGTGTATATAAATCTTGTAGTTATTTACAGCTCTAAAATACTTCATCATCTAGACACTTAGTCTCTATAAAATGATTTTTAAAAACGAGTAATCACTCATTTTAACATGTTTATATATGATTTAGGGGGAGTTAAAAAGCCTTAGAAGATTCCAAACAATTATTTCACATTTAAAGGGAAAGTTAACCCAAAAATAAGAATTCTTTCATCATTTACTCACCCTCGTTTTGTTCCCAAGCTGTACGACTTTCATTTTTCTGCAGAATACAAAAATAGAGACATTTTGACAGATCAGTGTACAGAAACATACAGAAACATTCCCATAATCTAGCATATTTATTAGTGGTAATTATGAAATTGGATAGTATTTTTGACCTTTACATCAGAACAATAAAAACTATTTGAAGTTAATCAACAGCTAATATATAGTGCTAGCAAGTCAAAGTTTTTCTCCCAAAATATTTGGATTTTTATCACATGCACAATAAAGTCAACTTCCAGTAAAAACTTATGCGACTCTAATTCAGATAAAACCGTAACACCAGTTAAGACTCAAACTAGAGAAGCTTGGCTTTGACACATTTAATCAATACACCAATTTGTAAGATAAAATCAGCATTCATTATCAAAGGCAACTATTTATTTGGTTTTACAACAGTATTGAGTACATGTACAGTAAATGAACAGAAGGCCAACGATTCACTAAAAATGTTTTTTTTATTGGTCTTATGAAGTATTCTAATTTGTTGAGATAGTGAATTGGTGGGCTTTTGTTAAATGTGAGCCAAAATCATCACAATTAAAAGAACCAAAGACATAAACTACTTCAGTCTGTGTGCACTGAATTTATTTAATACACGAGTTTCACAATTTGAGTTGAATTACTGAAATAAATGAACTTTTCCACGACATTCTAATTTATTGAGATGCACCTGTAATCTGAGTGCATGGCTTGTGACTGCTTTTCTTTTTGGTTGCATTAGCCTTATTGTCTATGTAAGCCCTGCATTACTCATATTAGATGGTATGCATACAGTATCACCATCAAGGCCATTTAGGAGAGTGCAGGTTTATACCTTGAAAGTGTTTTCAAAGCAAAACAGCACTTCATGTTGAGCACATGATGAATGTAAAATGCCCTTTCGACTAGAAAGACTTCTTGTCTCATACAGGCGCACACACAGTACTGTAACCATACGCATAAGTGCCAGTGTGTGTGTAGCTGTGTAAAGATTACTATGAGATGCACATCTAAACCCTGGCTTATAAAAAGCCATTCACAGATTCTTCAGTAAGCATCATACTGAATAAGGTAAACTGCACAATGTTGCATGTTTAAAAATGCTAGTACACTGTTTAAATAAATATTACATAGGCTAGTTCAAAGCTATTAAATATTACATTTTCAATTAATAGCCTGTAACTTTCATCCAGCTTGTATGACGGGAATACATTTTATTTTTTGACTATAGTTTTGTGCATTCATGCAAATTATGTACATTAGCTAATTTACATTTAAACATATCAGACCATTTTATCTGTGCCATTTTTAACCTAAACGTATGTTAAAGGTAAAATACCTTATTCGGTTAACTTACTTTTAACTTACTCTTTTCATTGTGGCGTTATTTGAGAGTTAGGTTACAGGTTAGCAACGCGTAGTTGCTAGTGGTCTAGATACGATTTTTTTTACCTTGTTAAGTTTTGTTGAACGTTTTCGAGGATGAAGAAATATCACATTTGCTTTCCATGTTAGTGTCAGCCTAACTGACTTCTTCTTTAGCTTCTAAGGTGAATTTAATTTGCGCCAAATTGCGTTCGTTTGATAGGACGCAAGGCCTTTGACGTCGATCAGACGTTCATTCTGGCGAATCGATTCGTTCTGTTCGGTCTTCGCTCTCATATGTTGCGTTGGAAATTCATCTCTTGGTGAATCGGTTCCTCGTACTCGGTTCTCTTTTTCATGTATCGCTGAGAACTACGATTCATTCTAGAGAATCAATTCATTAAATCGGGCGGTTCATGAAAATGAACAGATAACAAAATGACTCACAGATTTGTGTCCTAGAACTTAGGCTCTTCTTTTTTTTTTGTAGCGGAATATTTAATTAAAGCTGCTGTTAATAGCTTGTATGTATACTGTATTGTATTGTAATGCTTATATTTAATGTAGCCTAAATGTATACGTTCAAGTTTGATGCTGTCAGTCATTCTGATTGACAGTGTTTTGTGGCAGAACATACGAGACGGGTTAGATTAATATTTAGATATTATGTATTAAAATAACTAGCTGCTTTTTGTAAGTATGTCAGGTCATGGTCAGTTTTTCATTTCATTTGAACTTTATCGAGCGCCAGTAGATGTCTCTGTTTTATCACAATCTCTAGAGCTGGTCAAAATAAATGGGTTTGCTTTAATTTCTAACCAGAAAAAAATATATTAAAAATAGAAATCAAATATTAAAATAAGTGGTTCATACAGAAGTATTTTACTCCACCTAGAAGTTAATATAAACTATGTTAAAATATACTGCAGCCTATTTTAATGAATTAAAAATCCTAAACATCATCAACATTTGACTGATCTTAGACATGGCATCTGCCCTTGGGCAAATACTACACGGAAAACTTTCCATTTAAAACACCATTTCAGGAACTGAAGAACGAAATAGGGTGTCACAGTTGCTAAAGACATCAGTGGAAATGAAGGCAGTGCCACAAACACACTGCCGCTGCGCACATCGCAGGCAGGTGACAGATCGACTTGGATGTAAACAGCCGTACAATAAACCTGCTCCTTTGCTCTACATCGCTGTTTGAGGATTGCTCATAGAAAGTGAGCACAAATCCAGGATGGTGATAAAATGATGACTGGACGGAGAGAGCAGTCTGTTGAAGGGATCGTCCTCCAACGCCAGACGGTGAAATAACATAAACTTCCACACAACAACCGGGTAAGTGAGCCACACCGCTGCTGTTTTATACTGAAACATTGTACAAGAAAAATAATGGATGATCAGTAGTGTTTGTAACTACAGGTAGGCATTGTGTTTGTGCAATATGCACTGTTAATACAGGCTAGGCTGTGTGTTACTCATTTTCAGAAGGGACTACACCCTGTGAAGTTTATTGTTAAGATGTTACCGTTTTGAATGTTGACTGTACTTCATTTCATTCCACAGCCCAAAATCTCCACCTCTTAACTGTATTCCTAAGAATGTCGTTTTTACTAATACTAGCTGATATTCAACATTATATTAACTTGATGTTGTAATTATATTTATTCTTTATTATTGTGAGTCAAGGGCAGTTACTGAATTGATTTTGTTTAAGGTCAATCTGTTTGTTGACTAAAGGTGTGTTGCATTCTTATGTAAACTTAGATTTAGAATCAGGTAAAAAAAAAAAAAAATCCATTAGTCTAACTTGAAATTAAAAAGTGAACTGTTTTGCTTCATTGGACATTGGAGTGACTGTATCAGAACTGTTTAATGCACAAAAGTAAGCAATTATGTACTTAATATTAAACACTGAAATGTATCAGTATTCTTATGAACTATATAGACAATGATATGCAAATTATTAGCATGGGTGAATAGAAAAATAGACCATTTTAACACATACTTAAAATAGTATAGTATGATTTACAGGTTTTGACATCACAAAGAAAACATACTGGAAGTTTATTTTTCTACCGTTTTTATTTTTATAATAGATAATTAGATAATTTTAGATAATGGCCTATTATGCTCAATGAGCATTGCATTATGAACATTATGAGCCCATAAGTATGTGTTTATAAATCAAGCTATCTTTGTTCATGGACACTTTGCATAGGATTATTTGTTGTTGTTTTGGGTTATTTTTATTTATTTATAATTTTTTTGAGCCAATCATCTGACCCATAAATGCAAGGTACCTAATCAGAGGTGCAGGAACATGACATCGTGACAATGCTGATTGGCTGAGCAAGAATGTCTCAACCTCTTCAAGGTCACGTAATATGATGTGAAAGACAGCAGACAAGGGAAAAAAATATCTCATAAAACTTCAAAGTATGTACTGTAAAACTGGGAAATATTTTCAATGAATTTGTTGCTAGCAAAAAAAAAAAAAAGAACCAGAATTCTCAGTGTCAGTCAATGGAAAATATGTTTTTTTTTGGTTCTTCAAGGTAATGTTATGGGATTTACCAACTTATTGGTCACAAAAAACAGCCAAATCTTAACCAAATGGTTATACCCCAACATTTGAAAATTGCTAGTTAAAGCTACAATGTGAAGACATTATCCAATGTCCTTAACATATATTTATGTCTACCTCACAGAAATGGCGAGTGATCGGGTGGCCATCCTAACGGATGATGAGGAGGACCAGAAAAGGAAATATGTTCTGTCTGAACCATTTAACACTCTGTCCCTGGGGCAGGTGGCAAACACTACACCATCCGGTCAAACAGCACCGCCTGCCCCCACTGACACACACCCTTCTCAGCCCTCTCAGAATATGGACTGCACAGAGAGGTGCTGTGTGCGATTAGACAATCATCTCTTGATATCCAAGGTCTTCTACTTCTTCTTTTACTCCGCATATGGCTCTTTACACCCCCTGCTTGCTGTGTACTACAAGCAGCTGGGAATGACAGCCAGCCAAAGTGGCCTGCTAGTTGGGATCCGTTATTTTATAGAGTTCTGCAGTGCGCCTTTCTGGGGAGTAGTGGCGGACCGCTACAAGAAAGGGAAGGTGGTGTTGCTGTTTTCTGTACTCTGCTGGGTGGTCTTTAACTGCGGTATCGGCTTTGTCAAGCCAGCAGCTATGACCTGTGTCAGTAAGGACCCTACTGTTGTGACACCAAGCAATTTTACAAACTATACGCAAACTAGTAACCATACCAGACAAAGAAGATACTTGATTGAGGATGTGTACTCTGCTCCTCAGCTTTCTCAGCCAATATTAGCAGCTTATGAACCTCACTCTAGATACATTCGAAGTGCAAGTGTGAATACCACAAGCACTCCCTCTGGAAAGTCCACAGAGAATCCTGTCGGCATTACTATGCTGTCTAACTCATCAACAGCGTCGCCCCGTACCTCGACAGTAACGTCAAAATCTACCTCGACAATTGAAACACAAGCTACCACTGCCAAACTCAAGAATGTCATAGTCTTTAATAAGGAACAAGTAGATACGATATTTCTCTTGATCCTCTTGGTCATTATCATTGGTGAGTTCTTCAGCGCCCCGGCTGTGACCATTGTGGACACCGTCACTCTTCAGTACTTGGGACCACACCGAGATCGTTATGGGCTCCAGAGAATGTGGGGATCTCTGGGATGGGGTATCGCTATGCTGTCAGTGGGCATTTGGATCGACCACACGCACATCACTATCTTCATCCAGGGCTCGGGTTGTGACCTGCCCATCTACAAGAACTACCAAATTGCGTTCATCGTTTTTGGAGTCCTGATGATGTCAGCGCTGATAGTGGCGACGCAGTTCCACTTTGACAACAGGGTTTATCAGTCAGATGAGGAAGAGGACAAGAAGGAGGATGTGGAAATACCTCAAGTCGTTCAGGAAGTCTCGTCTCCAGAGTCCAGCCCAGATGATGCACCTATTTGCCCAGAAAGCAACCCGCAACCTTTTCCCTTCAAAGATCTCTTCCGGACCATTTGTGGCATCCAGTATGGTACGGTTCTCTTTGTGGCCTGGTTCATGGGGTTTGGTTACGGTTTCGTGTTCACCTTCCTCTATTGGCATCTGGAGGACCTGAAGGGCACCACCACTCTCTTTGGCATCTGCTCGGTGCTCAGTCACGTGTCTGAGCTGGCCGCTTATTTCATCAGCCACAAACTCATTGAGCTTGTTGGACACATCAGGTGGGAACCTAATTATGTGAAATATATGGCATATTTTATACTAAACTGCACTTGTATTGAAGGTTTTTCTATTTGGAAAGTAGGGGCTTGGATTATGAATATTAATTTAATGACATAACTCGCATTTAGAAATCATATTTGATTTGTTTAAAGGCAGGTTTGCATGTGCTAACAAAGTAGGATAACCACTTACCGCTTGTATGTCTGTTTAGTCCACTTCCAATGCAAGTGGTTGGCCGAGGCTTCTCCTGTTATTTGGGACATTCACACTGAAAGCAATTTGTAGAAACCAAGAGTCAGTCAGTTTCAGTGAGAATAGACAATAAATCACACTTCAACTTTTATGCAAATGAGCAGCGGCGACTAATGGAAGTGCAGATCATGTTCTGCCCCTTGATAGAGTTGGATACTAAGGTCAAGTGAGAGCCAGTTCACACAGAAAGCATTTTTGTGTTCTATTCTGCTGCTTTCAATTATTTTTCTACGTAAACATGCATTAGATGATGTCTTTAGCTGGTGCATCATGTCTTGCTTACTTTAGGCCCATGTTTTTAAGTTGTTCTTAAGAATTCATCCTGTGTGAGCCCATAAGACGCCTATGAAGATTCCACTGTCATTGTGAACACCCTTCTATGTTGCCAGTTATACAGTAGTTGTTTCTTTAAACTGTACCCAATCAAAACATAGCTCAATTAAGTATTTTACTTGTTGTCCAAACATTGGGCAGGATGAATGAACTGCTTGGTTGCAGTTTTACCAGAAAATATATTAATATATATTAATTCTATTAAAAATCTATTGGTAGCCACAGCCATGAAGAAAACATCTTCGGAAGCAGTATTTTTTAGTATATTGTTATATAAATAATAGGGTTATTTATATTTGTAGTATTTATTAAAATTTTAAATTAGCTTTTATTTTTAGAATTTTAAGTTTAGTTTAAAGTGCATGGAAAGGTATATTTTTCCTGATGTTGTCAATACATTCCGATTGCTTTAAAAGATTGCTTGGGTTTTACTAGATTTACTGATGTATTGATATTCAGTTGAACAATCTACTATGCATTTGATATATCATAGACAGGTGGCCTCTGATGTTCACAAAAGCTAAACACTCATATATGCTCAGGGTTTAGTGTTGAGCAAATCTTTGTATGGGCGGAGCCAACCATTTTATTTTAGTATGGTACTTTATGTATTTTGGACCTGTGCCCAAGCACCGCCTTCATGTAATCGTTACCATATCCTGGTTGCTCAATATTTTATGAGAATACGACCAAGAGCATCCGGTCAAAAGTGATGTAAATGCACTTATTTCTTGTGCCATGTCTGTGTTAACACGTATAGACTGGCATATTTTTGGCATAGTGGTGTACATTAGGCTCACTCAGAAAGTCCTAAGGTTGTTTAATGTGTCTCATTAAGTATTGTTGACTTTGGCTAAGCTCTAAACGGGCACTGCCTAGCCTGGGCACACAATGAACAACCAAGATGCAGGCCACCCTTTTCCAGGATGTTTACCATGTGTATGTGGGCACTGGTAAACAGGCACATGGAAAGGTTTGCTCACATCCTCAATCTGCTTTGTGGTATTTCTCAAGTGTGTGGTATTTCCCAGAGCACCGGCTCATCTGAGTGAACAAGATGAATCACCTTAAAGGGGTCCTATTATGCTCTTTTACAAAGTCTTGATTTTGTTTTGGGGTGTACTAGGCTCTCATACTAGGTTGTTCGAAAAACACATTATTTTTCACATATTTTACATGATTACAACACCTCTCTCTCCCCAGTCTGGCATGAAAGGCTCGAATAGTTCCTGTATCAAATGAAGGCCCGCCTTTTGAAATACGAAATGTGCTGTGATTGGTTAGCTGGGCCAGTGTGTGTTGTGATTGGCAGCACTCGGCACCTGGTTGGGAAATGTCATGCCCCTTACCATAGCCACCTGCAAGCTTCAGTGTAAATATTGCGTCAAAATCAAATAAATTTGAGTGTGATTTAAACCCGGATGATTGTAATCACTCTAAGTTTGTCTGCCTTGGGAAAGCTAGCTTGTCTCTGACATAGTGATAACACTCGTTGCCTTCTCTAGTGCAGCTCAACCAGGTCTCGTCCCATTCGTCGGTATTTGTGATATCACAAATCCCGGAAAATATGCGTTGTAGTCCAAACGAGTCGTTCGTTGTAGTTTTTGAAAAGTTAAATAAAATATCTCCTTTTGAAGTGGACTTTGAGCTTGTAACTTTGCAGATCTTTTTTATGCTCAAACAGCAACATTACAGACTAAAGTTGAAAGAGTCAAAAAGCATAATAGGACCCCTTTAAGATAGCTCAAGTTGTACTGGTGGCTCAGTCTTTGCATTTTTAATTATGTTAACTGGTAGCATTTAGCAGATGTTTTGGGATACATACAGTGACCACTGAAACTGTTATGTTTGTCGACAGATGCTGTTTTGTGAAAAGCTGATTAGTTGGCAGCAAACTGGATCTGCAGGCATTGTAATTCTGCTGCGTAACAGAACTGCAGCTCTATACAAAATATACTTTCTGGCTTACCACACTGAGCATTTAAATTTAGAATATTACAACTTGATTTTTGTTAAATAAAAAAGTCATCAAATCTAATGGATTTGAGGTGGTGAAACTTGCCGAACTGCTTCTGCTATGACTAAATATCTCACAAAGAGACTATATCTCACAATTGTGATTTCTCACTGTGTAACTTTTTTATCTCAATGTGATTTAATATCTCACACTGTGTGACTTTATCTCACAGTGTGATTTTATATATCACAATTGTTTCCTTATATTTCATAATGTGACTTATCTCACAATTTTTACTTCAAATTTCACAGCGTGACTTTATATCTCATAGATGTAATTTTATAGTAACATTTATTGTATAACATTTTATATATTATATTTTATATAAGTATAAAACAATTTGATATAAATTATTTAAAATATAAATTATTAATAAATTATTGTATTCTACATTTTGAAAATCATTTATAGAATCTTCTTATGGAGACGAAGATGTTTTGTTCATCCATGTGATATACCTTCAGTTTTGTCTCTGTAGTCTTTGTTAAGTGGCCTATTTTCAGTCATGACTGTGGAGAGGCCTGTAACTTTATCCTGCCATTAGCCCCATCACACATTGTCGAGGCTTTCCAGCATTGATCCACTGAGCTTGCTTCTTTTGTGGATCAATTCTAAAGCTTTCTAAAGGCAAAGGGTGTGGTGGAGCCAAAATAGTGTACAGTGAAATGTTCTCTGTAGTTTGTAGAGTCAACATTTGCATGGCTATCTCCCAGAGCTTGCATGTAGTTGCATGGAGAAAGCAGTTTAAAAGCTCCTGTTTAAAGGTTTTTGTGTAGTCTTTTTGGTGTTAGTATGCTTAAAATGCACACAACTATAAGTAAGCCATTAGTAGTTTGATTCCCCCAAAATATGTAAACACTGTGGAGCAAAACATTGCTCTGTTTGAGCTTCCTGACCAGTCCGATGTTAACCAATGGCATGAGATTGGGGTGTGGCTATGTGTTTGTTTACGCAATGGTGGACAGGGAGATTGTTTAGGAAACATATTTGGAAACAATCGTTATTTTAATTAAAGGGGTCATATGATGCGATTTCAAGCTTTCCTTTCTCTTTGGAGTGTTACAAGTTGATTGTGCATAGATAAGAGCCCTGAAGTTGCAAAGACTAAAGTCTCAAAACCAAAGAGATATTCTTTATCAAAGTTAAGACTCTGCCACACCCCCCTAAAAGGCTTGTTCTAACATGCCCCCACATATCGTGTGTGTGTGTGTGTGTGAGAGAGAGAGAGAGCGAGAGAGAGAGAGAGACTGGGTCACATCATAGTGGAGTGAACTGTCTTAACCGTGGCTTGGTCTTTACATTTATTTTGAAAGATGAAGCTCGCGATTATGGTAAGGGGCGTTACATTTCCGACGAGTGCTTGCGGTGTTCAGCCAATCACAATGCACTGGGTCAGCTGGCCAATCAGAGCAGACTGCACTTGTTGGAAGGAGGGACTTTGTAGAAAACAAAGCGTTTGAGAGAGGCGGGGCATAGAGGACCTACAATAATGTACAGTATTTGAAAAATAATGTGTTTTTTTAACATTAAAGCATGTCAACATATTCTGTTACACCAGATACACAAAATAATGATCTTTAAAAAAGCATCATATGACCCCTTTAATGTTTTGATGAAACGGAAGTAGCGCTAGATCTTTTCTTCTGTGTTTTGATGTTCATTCCAGTTACACAGATTGTTGGTTATAATTCTAAAACTATTTGCTAGCTTTTCACTTTTTTATAGTTCATTTAATATAATTTAGTAGTAAATTCAGCACAACTGTAAGTGAGTTGATTCCCTCAAAATGTGTAAACACTGTGGCGCAAAACATTGGTCTGTCAAGCTTCCTGACAAGTCCGACAACAGCAACACTGACTCAACCAATGGTGTGAGTTTGGGGTGGGGCTATGTATTTGTTCAACCAATGGCAGACAGAGAGAGTGTTTAGGAAACCTCTTTGGAAATCATTATTCTATTTAAAGTTGCGTTGAAACGGAAGTAGCAACAGACCTTTCTTCTGTAATTTGACGTAAATCCCAGTTAAAAGGATTATTGGAAAAGAAAAAAAATGTAGGACAGGGACTTTTTTTCAATATTTTTATCAATCTGAGCTTGCAGGTGATCATAAAAAAGGGTGTGGTTTAAGCAAACTGAATGTTCGGAGATGTCACCTGTGTTATGATGTTTTAATTAAAAATTGCTAGTTAAAAACATTAATATGAATGAATTAAATAGATGAATTGTTCACAATAACAACACTAACATGCATTTAGAAAATATATGCAGACTATAATTTATGCTTAGTGATGCCAGTAGCAGAGAAATGAGACGCTTCATTTTAAAGCACCAGCGCTCTCATTAGACTGGTTTTCCAGAAAAAAACATTCAAATTAAACTGGCATTAATGACATTAACGTTCAGTGTTTGTAGATAAGCACTGGCGAGATCTTGTGCGGTCACACTCACAGCCCGAACATTAGACAGAGTGAGTCATTCATTTGGGCGTCAGAATAGAGACTGACATCACCAGCAAATGCAACTCCCAGCCTTAACTACAATAGGCCTTATAAACCAAACAGGTTTAGCTACACCCAGTGTGGCATTTTCATTGTACAGAAAATCATTGTTTCACGTGCATGAATGAAATATGACATTCAAGTATTACATGATTGTGTTCTTTTTTTTAGAGTCCTTTATATCGGACTGGCCTGTAACACCGCACGCTATCTGTACATCTCCTACCTAGAGAATGCATGGATAGTTTTACCCATGGAAGTACTTCAAGGTGAGAAATCAGGGGTTTTTGTGTTGCTCGATGGGCCTTATCAAACAGGAAGTGGAGTTTGGATTGGTAGGCTGTGTTCTTGAGTGACCACAGCTAACGTCAAGATCATCTAAGGACATGATTTAGCTGTTTTTGAAGTATATCTGACTGCTTATTTCACATCAGATACGCTGTTGCAATCACACAGTTACAGTTAAGAAATAAACAGACAGGTTTAAGCAGTGCTGTTTTTATTTCAAAGCTAAAAGACATGCGTTACTGATACTTAGGCACAATACATTAGAGGTCGACCGATTGATCGGCTGGCCGATTAATCGGGCCGATTTTTGGCATTTTTTTAATTAATCGGCATCAGCCAATTGTGCTGCAAATTTATAGGCAGGCGCATCTGTGGGCAGCTGTACCGGAGAATCCCTCTCCCTCTGGCTGTGTGAGATGGCGCAGCTCCACAGTTGCCAAATCCGCTTATTATACGCAACTTTGGGCTTCTTTTTGTGTAAAGTTGCGTGAAAAAATCCCGGGTCGGGTTGCGGGGTGATTTAGCTGTTTTTGAAGTATATCTGACTGCTTATTTCACATCAGATACGCTGTTGCAATCACACAGTTACAGTTAAGAAATAAACAGACAGGTTTAAGCAGTGCTGTTTTTATTTCAAAGCTAAAAGACATGCGTTACTGATACTTAGGCACAATACATTAGAGGTCGACCGATTGATCGGCTGGCCGATTAATCGGGCCGATTTTTGGCATTTTTTTAATTAATCGGCATCAGCCAATTGTGCTGCAAATTTATAGGCAGGCGCATCTGTGGGCAGCTGTACCGGAGAATCCCTCTCCCTCTGGCTGTGTGAGATGGCGCAGCTCCACAGTTGCCAAATCCGCTTATTATACGCAACTTTGGGCTTCTTTTTGTGTAAAGTTGCGTGAAAAAATCCCGGGTCGGGTTGCGGGGTTTTTTTTTTTTTTAAATATGGTTGCTTTCTTGTTAGGAAAATCTGACAAGAAACTTTGTTTCTTTACATTTATGCTCACCATATTCTCCAATGCCTTGATTGACACTCTTAACTGACGGCTGAAGCCAACGGTCCGTGGGTGTGACGTCTGAGGCTGAGACTACGTTTTAAGATAGCACACGTACGTCTGCAAGATGTCCGTTAAAGATCACTTGATCTGGATAGCATCTGCTGTGTATAAACATCTGACAGACGTCTGTAAGATGTCAGTTTTACATGCATTCTAAATCATAAACATCTTAAAGACATCTAATAGACATCTATTTGACATCTGATAGAAAGCATCCCATAGACGTATTGCAGATGAGCAAACACTGTAAAAAATACGTCTTCCAGATGTAAATGCAGATGTCAAACAGACGTCTCCAAGATGTATGTGTGCTATCAGATTATCCTACTAGAATTGATGCCGACCGTGCTTATCATATTCATAAATTCAACAAGTAATTTGCATGTGAAAGTAGAAACAATTCAGACTAAACTTCTGGGCTGATTGTAATGTGCACGTTAAATTTTCCTCATGAAATGTGTCTGTGGGTCCGACAGTAGCCTCCACGATGTCATTGCTCTGCCATCGGCTGCCCTGATTTCTAAATATCGGCATCGGCCAGAGAAAACAATAATACAATACTGTGGGGAAGTCGTGGCCTAATGGTTAGAGAGTCGGACTCGTAACCCAAAGGTTGCAGGTTCGAGTCTCGTACCGGCAGGAATTGTAGGTGGAGGGAGTGAATGTACAGCGCTCTCTCCCATCTTCAATACCACGACTTCAGTACCCCCAACTGCTCCCCGGGCTGCCCACTGCTCCGGGTGTGTGTTCACGGTGTGTGTGTGCACTTTGGATGGGATAAATGCAGAGCACTAATTCCTAGTATGGGTCACCATACTTGGCCACATGTCACGTCACTACATTGTTCAACATCAGTTGTTTCTGTGTAAAGCACAATTATTAAAATGTCAAGACCTTTGAAAGGTTCTAAAGCAGGTTTAGAAGCCTGTTTAGCCGCTTCAGCCACTATTGCGACTGTTGACTATTGACACTGTACAGGATGACCCTGTTCTCACCTCACATGGGCGTAATGCCTGTCTGCTTTAGCTGTAACCACCAGCCATAAGTTTTTGATGTTTTTTAAAATAATTTTCTTCTGCTCACCAAGCCTGCATTTATTTGATCCAAAATACAACAAAAGCAGTAATGTTGTGAAATATTTATATGATTTAAAATAACTGCTTTCTATTTGAATATATTTTAAAATATAATTTATTCCTGTGATCAAAGCTAAATTTTCAGCATCATTACTCCAGTCTTCAGTGTCACATGATCTTTCAGAAATCATTCTAATATGCTGATTTGCTGCTCAAGAAACATTTTTATTATTATTATTATTATTATCATCAATATTTAAAACAGTTGAGTACATTTTTTCAGGATTCTTTGAAGAATAGAGAGATCCAAAGATCAGCATTTATCTTATATAAAAAGCTTTTGTAACATTATACCATTCATTTTTTTGGTAAAGCAATTATAGAAATTAATACTTTTATTTAGCAAGGATGCTTTAAATTGATCAAAAGGGATGATAATGCCATTTATAATGTTTATATAATATAATGTTTATAAAAGATTTCTATTTCAGACAAATGCTGTTCTTCTGAACTTTCTATTCATCAAAGAAGCCTGAAAAAATACTACTCAGCTGTTTTCAACAATAACAATAATAATAATAATAATATTTTTTTTGTTTAGCTGAAAATCAGAAAATCATCTGAAGGATCATGTGACTAGAGTAGTGATGCTAAAAATTCAGCTTTGAAATCACAGGAATACATTACATTTTAAAATGTATTCAAATAGAAAACAGTTATTTTAAATAGTAAAACATATTTCAAAATGTTACAGTTTTTGCTGTACTTTAGATCAAATTAATGCAGGCTTGGTGAGCCGAAGAGACTAATTTAAAAAAAAACGTTAAAAATCTTACTGTTCAAATACTGGTAGTGTATATCAGTGTTTAAGACTGCTTATTTATATAAGTTCTAAAGAAACAGAGGAATATGAAAATACAGTGTGAGATCAATCCAATACAACAAAAAACATATTAAAGGAAGTTTTTAGGCACAACATAGAGCGAAGTTTAGTTGTTTACAGTTATTTTTTTAATGAATATTCATGTTATATTAGGCTATATAGGCAAACCAAAAGATACATTTATTCAAGTAATAAGTTAATAATCAAATAATCACATAAGATGAAGTACCTTTCCTTTGTGAGTTAAATGCACTAAATTATACAAAACAGGCATTACTATAGTTATTTAATATATAAAGTATTTTTATTGAATTTTCACTTTTACTATTATGACACAGGCTAAAATAACATGTTATACTTCTGACTCTCAGCTTTAATTATTAATATTTTGCGGGGGGGGGGGGGGGGGTTTGTTCCTATTTTGTTTTTGCATTAATGATCCCATGTAGCAGACTGAAGTCATATTATGTAATATCTGTACAGAGCTGCTTTTCAACATTTTATTCATATTTGTTTGTTTATCAGCTGCAAATGTGACCCTGGAGCACAAAATCAGTCTTAAGGCGCTGGGGTATATTTGTAGCAATAGCCAAAAATACATTGTATGGGTCAAAATGATTGTTTTTTCTTTTATGCCAAAAATCATTAAGATATTAAGTAAAGATCATGTTCCATGAAGATATTTTGTAAATTTCCATCTGTAAATATATTCAAACTTAATTTTTGATTAGTAATATGCATTGCTAAGAACTTCATTTGGACAACTTTAAAGGCGATTTTCTCCAATTTTTATTTATTTTTTGCACCCTCAGATTCCAGATTTTCAAATAGTTGTATATCGGCCAAATTTTGCCCTGTCATAACAAACCATACATCAATGGAAAGCTTATTTATTCAGCTTTCATGTATAAATCTCAATTTCGAAAAATTGACCCTTATGACCGGTTTTGTGGTCCAAGGTCACAAATGTTGTCTAATTGTTGTGGTCATATCATATATGTATTACAAAGAACACATGAGTAGTCTATGTTTATCCATTCAAGCAGATGCACAAGTGTTTATTTATGTTGATGTGTCGTGCAGGTTTGACACATGCAGCAGTGTGGGCGGCATGCATCTCGTATTTGAGCGCTGCTGTTCCTCCAGCTCTGCGCACGTCGGCTCAGGGGATCCTGCAGGGGCTGCACCTGGGGCTGGGGAGAGGCTGTGGAGCCATGCTGGGAGGGGTTTTTGTGAACTACTTCGGTATGACATCAACAAAGACCATGTGACGTCACAGACATTCCACACATGTGCCTCATGCATGCTTTGATGCTGTTATATATTTAGACACAGTTACAAAGATTCAGACTCTTGTAGTTAAAGTGAATTCTACATTATTCTGTATCCAAAAGTCTGAGACCAAATTGAAAATATCGCATGATGGATTGATTTTGTTTGTTTGTTTGTTAACTATTAATAAATTCTTAATTTCATTTTTAAATGTCTAACTTAAAACTTATTTAACAAAAAAATTAAATAAAAACAGTAAAACTGTAAAATAATATTAAAATTGAAAATAATTTGGTTTTTTTAATGTATAATATTTATAATGTAATTTGTTCCTGTGATGGCAAAGCTGAATTTTAGCAGCCATTACTCCAGTCTTCAGTGTCACATGATCCTTCAGAAATCATTCTAATGCTGATTTGGTCCTCAATAAATATATGTTATTATCAGTGTTGATAAAAGTTTTTTGCTGTTTAATATTTTTGTGGAAAACTTTGATACACCAATTAATTTTGGGGTAAGTAAAGGGGAAATAATTAATATTTTTATTCAACAAGGATGCATTACATTGATCAAAATTAACAATGTTCTAAAAAAAAATCTAAATCTAAAAAAAAACCTTTTTCAAATAAATTATTTTCATTTTCATCCCGAATCCTGAACAAAATGTCACAGTTTCTACAAAAAATATTAAGTAGCAAAAACAGCATATTAGAATGATTTCTGAAGAAGCAATGATTTTCTTAAAGGGGTGGTTCATTGCGATTTCACTTTTTTAATGTTAGTTAGTGTCTAATGTTGCTGTTTAAGCATAAACAATATCTGCAAAGTTACGAAGCTGAAAGTTCAATGCAAACGGCGATATCATCTTTTAAAATTCTGGCAGTTTAATGCCTATTAAAACAGCTGGTAGGGACTACAACGAGATACTTCCCGGGTTTGTGACATCACAAACCCAGATAAACCCCGCCCTCGGGAAAAGGCAGCAAAGGGGGTGAGGCCATGCTGCGCTGCTTTCGAGAAGAGGAAGAGAAAACTAGAGGTGCACGTAAAAATCTATTCATTTAAGAATCGCGATTCTGTCTTCTAACGATTCTAATGGATTCACAAGTTTCAAAATCAATGTTCTAAAGCAGCGGTTCTTAATACTGTTCCTCGCTTCCCCCTGCTCTGCACACGCTCTGCATCTCTCTCTCTCTCTCTCTCTCATTCAGATCATCAGCTCAGCTCTGTTCCATTTATACACTTATTTTCACATAGCTATGAGAAGCGTTAAGCATGGACATGCGTGCAGTTGCTGTACTGTATTAAAGCTTTAATCAGGATAAAACTATATTAAAAGCTAACATACACAGTAGCATTTACAAATAACAGCGTATCTAAAAGAGACAACAACAAACAAAAAACATAGGCCTACCATTAAAAGCCGTGCTTGCACAGGTTCTGCACGGTCCTCTTCACTAATATCCTCTGCTTCTCAATCGGGCTCAAACTGATAAGCGATATTAATGACGCCGCTGTTTACAATACAACCAGAGCACATGCTGCTGAGGTGAGGGGCGGGACACTTTGACGCGCACTAGAGGCGGTTTAGCCAGTCACAACACACTGGGCTAGCTAACCAATCAGAGCCCATCGCGTATTTCTGAGGGAGGGGCTTCATAAAAGAAAGAAAAGATCAGCCCGTTTCTCTGAGAAGGGACAGAGCGGTGTGGAATAAATTGTGAAAAATTTAGTTTTTTAAAAAACAAAGCATTAACTCATGTAAGACTGCACCCCATAAACACAATCAAGCCTAGAAAAAACCCAGTGAACCACCCCTTTAAGACTGGAGTAACGGTTACTGAAAATTTAGCTTTGCCATCAAAGAAATTAATTACGTTTTATAATGTATTCAAATAGAAGATAGTTATTTTAAATTGTAATTATATTTCACACTGCTACTGATTATATATATATATATATATATATATA